TGGTGCAGCAGCACAGAAAGTTGAGAGTAGAGTTAATTGCTCTCGCCTACCGCGCATTCCATTTTTATGTTTAGTTGATTGCATATGCGACCGAAGTGCGCTAGCTCCCATCCAGTTGACATTGATGTTTTTTTTTTTTTTTTACAAACCGAACAATAAGCCTGCCGGTTATTCCCTACTGCAGGCCTGAGCCAGTCCTTAAATGCTGGGTCTTCCATCCAGCTGTCAGAAAACTTGCATTTGCCCATGACGACGACGATGGTTGTCTGGACTAGTCAACAATGTAAGCTAGCCAAGTATTTGAGATGTCGAACGACCACTGAATATGACGTCGGAATCAAACACAAAGTTGAGACTACACGAGGATCTTTGATTATGTGCCCCGATATGCTAAAGCCCGCATTTAAACGAACTACTGCAAACTTTAGCAGATAGCATTTCAATCAGAATAGGACACCACAGTCTGAAAAAATACCTATTTAAAAAAATAATACCTCTAAACCAAATTAAACACCTTTTAATGGCCTTAAACTTGTCGATTTTGATTAATCACTTTTTAAAACGTTGCGGACACCCTGATTAAGATGGAAGATGTTTACTTACAACTGTTTGCAAAGTCCTCAGCACTGCAAATGTACAACGTTATTCTTTGGTAGGACTTTCCAATAGCCTCCTTGTATTTCTGTACTGTGAAAGGGGTGTCCGTTCCTGGGATGCTTGTAACTTCCTTAGCATCAGGATATAATAAAACATGAGTACAATCTTCCATATCCTGGTTGAAATCTTTTTGCTTCTTTACAGCAGCAGCCAGCAATTGTTACGATGAGTACTGTGGTTGAATATCAACAGGAAGTGACTTCCCTCTCACAGGTTTAAGGGAGTCACCTTGCATCCTCATAACTCCAACATTAATCTTAAGGAAGAGAAGTAAATGAAATTAAAATTTTATTATTTGATCTGCACTGGTGACTGTATGTGAGCATACCTTTACTGGTTTATGTTCCATAGAGTTCTTGTTTTTAGAGTTCTGTGTTTTCCGAAAGAATGTCTTTCTTTCCCTCTCCTTTATTGCCCTAAATGTCATAAAGGACTGTACATGTAATGATGAACCTGATGAAAATAAAGTTAAAATATGGGAATTAGACATTACTTTTATTATTAAGCTCACTATTATTATTATTATGATTAGTCTTTTCTGCATGATATTTTAGAACAGATTTGCCGAGATGTCATGAATACAAGAATACAACTTTCTGTTCACCTGTACTAGTGCTAGGCTGTGGATCAGGAGGTGCAATAGGAGGGACATCAGGAGGGACATTGTTTGGCAGATCATTTAAAAAAACTGATGTTTCTGCCACACAGACAACAAAATGCAGGAGACGCCATCAGTGCAGAGCCGCAGAATGGACAATACATCTGTGGTGGTGGGGAAGA